GCTTTCGTGGACTACAGCCCACTTCTTCGGATGACATATACGAAGAAGTGGGCTGTAGTCCACGAAAGCTTATGCTCTAATAAATTTGTTAGTCTCTAAGGTGCCACAAGTACTCCTGTTCTTCTTTATACCCATTTAGATTTCTCTTCACTTCCCAGCGATAACACTATAAAAATCCAGTATCAAAAACACACACGTTGACCAGAGTACGTCCGGCCAGGAGTTCCACCCAGGGGTATCTTAGTCAGGGGTTCTGAGGAGTCTGCTCCAGAGACAGAGGTGAAGATTTTTTTTTTAAAAAAAGCGACTAATGATTCCGAAGTGCCAACATTTGAGACGCATTTATGGGCTCTGATTTTCAGAGACCAGGCACTCAGCAGAGTTTGAAAATCAGGCCCCATTAAGGAACCTCAGCCCAGACTTCTGAGGGTTGAGGCAGCTCCCACAATCAATAGTCCGATTTGAAAATCTTGGTCAGAGTCTTTGTTCCAGTTTGACATTCATATCATTATTTTTTGTGATTTACTGCATTAGATTTATATTCATTTGAAGAAACAGGAAACCTCAGAGAATCCTGGCTTGAAGGCATAGGAGAACATTCTCCATAGCTCCTAAGGCCTGGTCTACCCTACAAATTTAGGCCGATGGAAGCCACCTTATGTCCACCTAATAATATATGCATCTACGCTACCAGGTCCCTTCTGCCAACTCAACACTCCTGTAACATCCACTTAATTACTCCACCTCTGGAAGAGGCGTAGCATTTAATTCGCTGTTGAGGGGTCAGCAGAGAGGCAGCATAGACGCATTAGTGACACATTAGAGAAGCTTAAGTTCCATCGCAAGTCAATGGAAAGTAGGAGCTTGACTCACTTTAGGTACTTTTGAAAATGTTCCTGATCTAACATGGTGCCCAGCGCTCCCCGTGTTTGAGATTTAGCATCCCTGTAGACCTCATCTCCCATGAGAACTGGAAAGCCATTTACCTGGACACCCCTTTAATGATAAAGACCTTGCTGGAGTGCTGCTTTTCCAGTTTGCTCATCACCTCATACAAGTCGTGGTTCAGCTGAAAACAACGGGAGAGAAGCAAACATCAGAACCTACAATGAGATGATACGTCACCGCTTTCTCTTCTTGTAACAGGGAGAATTGGTTCAGATGGTTTCTCTTCACAGCCCTGCGAGCATGGACTTCTGCTCACCCCCTGTCTGAACCACTATAACATGGACTAGCTAGACCAATGTTTCTCAACCTTTTTGATACCAGGGACTGGCTTGCTGCCTTCCTAAACTGTGTCAGGGAAATCTCAGGGACCGGCAAGGAGACTGCCACGGACCGGTCGTTGAGAAACATTGATCTAAACGACTCAAGACAGGAAGTTGCTTCTGGAGGAGCCCCATGGGCAGCGGGTATCAAAGGCTGGGGGAAGCTGAGCCCCCCCAAACAGCCCTGCATGGCCCTGCCCATGCTCTGCCCTCAGACTCCCTCCTTCCCAGTGCTGCACTTCAGGGTGGGGTGGGGGGGCTGTGCC